AGAGCAAGACGCTCTCCGACGAGCGCATCGAGCGCTCCGCTTTGGAGGACTTGTCCAACGCCGCCTGCGCCGACCTGCTCTCGCAGCGCGTCTCCAAGGCCTGGACGCGGGGCCTCGCCGGCGTCTGCGTCGCGCTCGCGGAGGACCGGCGGCGGAGCGGCGACTACGCGGCCGCGCTGACGCTCGTCGGCTCCGTGGCCCGCGCGGCGCCGGACGCCCTCGGCGCCGCGGCGCTCACGCACGCCGCGGCGGCGCGCCTCGCGGCGCGGGACCGCGACGGCCGCGGCGCGGCGCCGCGGCGCGCGCTCCTCGAGGCGACGGCCGCGGTCGGCCTCGCGCCGCGGAGCGGCGACGCGCGCGCGCAGCTGGGACGGGCGCTCATCTGCTACGGGCGCATGACGGAGGCCGTCGCGGCGCTCGAAGCCGCCGTCGCGGACCGCCTCATCGTCGGCCCGCCGAACGACTTCCTGGCGAAGACGCTCGCCGACGCGCGGCGGAGCGCGGCGCACCCGCCGGCCTCCGACGTGCTCGAGGTCACGGTGGAGCCGAGCGGGCCCTGGGTCGCCGACGCGGGCGCGCGGGCGCTGCGGATCCGGGGCGACGCGCCCCTGAAGGCGCTCCTGGACGCGTTCCCGACGGCCGCGGCGGATCTGCGCCTCGTCGACGTCTCCGCGGAGGGCCGCCACCTCGACTTCGAATGCGCGGCGCAGCTCGCCGGCGTGGCCAGCGGCAGCCACCTGCTCCTCTCCAGCACGGACCGCCGGGACCTCGACGACGTCGGCCTCGCGCGGCGCCGGCCCCTCCGCGAGCCCGACCCGGACCTGCGGTCGCTGCGGCTGTCGTAAGCTTTTTTTACGGCCGGGCCGCGCGTTCGAGGACGGCGAGGCGGCGCGCGCGCTCGCCCTCGAGCGTGAAGACCGCGTTCCAGTGCTTCGGCGCGAGCTTGTCGTCGCCGAGGGACTTGGCGTGGAGCTTGGACACGGCGACCCACGCGTCGAGGCGCTTCTCCGCCGTGGCCTGGCTGATCTTGCCCGTCGCGCGGGCCGCGAGGTACTGGTCCTCGAGGTCCGACGCGGCGCCGTCGTCGATGGCGACGCGGAGCGACCGCGACCGCGCGACGTAGTCGCGCGCGCGGTCGAGCCTGCGCCGAATTCGAATCTTCAACCCGAATTCAATGTGAGCGTACGCGACAGTTTCGACGCAACCTTTTCGGCTGTGCTTCGAGAACTCGACGAGAGCAATCGATTCGTCCAAAAATCAGCCGAATCGACTTCGATTTGACCGAGCTAGAGAGTTCTGAAGTTGGTCAGGACCACCCAAACCAGCGGTTGCATTCGGCACAGGGTCGAGCCTCGCGTCGTCGAGGAGCACCTCGCAGGGCGGCGCCTCGGGGCTCAGCGGGAGCACGCAGTCGCAGTCGAGGCCGCCCGTCTCGACGCCCGACACGAGGAACGACGCGAAGTCCGCGTCGACCTGCTGCTCCATGAAGCCGTAGTTGTAGGGCACGCGCTTCTCGTCACCGAGGAGGCCCGCGATCGCGCGGATCGCCGCGTGCGCGCCCGGCGAGTCCGGCGGCGCGCCGTCGACCTCGACGACGACGACGGTGCCCTTCGGGAGCTGCAGGTGGGACGGCGGCAGCTTGTCGGACCCCGCGGACCGGAGCGGCGCCGTCGCGTCGGACGTGCGGAGTGTCACGACGCGCGGCGCGACGAGGCCGAGCGCCGCGGCGAGCGCCGCCGCGTAGGCGTCGGACCGCGCGACGCATCGGAGGTTCAGCGAGAAGGCGCCGACGACCTTCGTCGCGTGGCGCTTCTCCGTCTTCGCGCAGAGCGCGTAGAGGCAGTACTCCGCGGCGGCGCGGTCGCCGCCGAGCGCGGCCGCGAAGACGTCGAGCACGTCCGCGCGCGCGGCCTCCGCGTCCGACGGCGACATGTCCGCGCCGCCGCCCCGCGGGTACCACTCGTCGAGCACGCGGTAGGACACGCAGTGCAGCCGCGCGACGCGGCTCAGGGGCGGGTCCCACGCCGAGTCGTCCTCGAGCTCCTGCATCGCGTACGCGTCCAAATCGTCCGGCCCGCCCTCGAGCGCCGACGCGCCCGCGGACGCGGGCTCCGCCGTCGGCGAGCCGCCGAGGACGCCGACGAACTCCACGAGGTCGTTGAGCTTGGGCACCGACGGCCCGTAGACGCGGACGACGCACTCGAGGCCGCGCGCGCCGCCGCCGGGCGCCGCGCGCGCGTCCGCCGCGGCGTCCATGGGCGCGGCGCCCGCCGCGGCCTTCTTCGGCCCGGGGTCGACGTCGTCGTCGCCGCCGCCGTCGTCGCTCCGGGGCCGCTTGGCCGCCGACGCCGCGGGCGCCGCCGCGCGCGCGGCGCGCGCGCCGCGGACCGCGGCCCAGGGCTGGAGGCCGGGCGCGGCGACGACGTAGAGCGGGCGCCGGTCGTCGAACGACGGCTCGTCGTCCATCACCGCGCCCTCGGGCGCGCTGTCGCGGAACATGGTGCAGGCGCGGCCCGCGCGGCTCGAGAACATGGACGGCAGGTAGATCTCGTTGTTGCCCATGTCCTGGACCATGCCGACCAGACGGACGAGCGACTGCGGCGGCGCGGCGCCGGACGCGTAGGACCGCGCGTCGAGGACGGGCAGCGCCTCGGTCACGACGCCCGCGGCCGTCAGGTGCGCCGTGAAGCGGTCGCGCAGCGTCGACGTCGTCGCGTCGTCCTCGAAGAGCGAGTCGACGGCGGCGAGGGGGCTCAGCGTG